TTCAATCTCCGCGCCACTCGCAACACCACCACCGACACTCACATCACACTCACACTCACCGGAAACCGGAAACCGGAAACGGAAACGGAGAGGAGAGAGGGAGGAGAGAGAGAGAGACGGAGAGAGGGAGAGAGAGAGAGAGAGAGGGAGAGAGAGGAGAGGAGAGAGAGAGGGAGAGAGAGAGAGAGAGAGAGAGAGAGGAGAGAGAGAGAGACGGAGAGAGGAGAGAGAGAGAGAGAGACAGAGAGAGGGAGAGAGAGAGGGAGAGAGACAGAGAGAGACAGAGAGAGAGACAGAGAGAGACAGAGAGAGACAGAGAGAGACGGAGAGACAGAGAGAGAGAGAGTTTGTTTGATTCACAAACAAATAAAAGAGGTGGGGGGGGGGGCGTGCGATAATACCTCACACCGCACTATTGAGCCACCTTGGATCACTGCAGCAGCCCTAATTACGACCCCATTAACCAAAGACTGGGATAATGTTGAATGCTGATTTAAAGGTTAACTCCTGCTCACGGTCTATTAAGTAAATCAAGAATATATTTTTCTTTGTCTTGATTTAAACCGCTCGGACATTTTTGTTTTCCTCCTTCATGGACTCGAGCCAACGTCACCAGATTAAAGTCTGACGAGTTGTGTTAGCGTGCGTGGAAAGGGACATTTGATTAGTTTTTTGTCCTCACTTTATGCTGATGTAAAGGGTTAAAAAAACGTGTATATAAGTCATTCAAATGTGTTTCGTCTAAAACTAAAAATTGTGTTAAAAGTCATTGGGACAGTCAAAAGGTTCATGATCTAGTGAAAGTACAGAACAAATGTATTGAGTTAAAAAGAGACCCAATATATCTTTTTATGTTTATGTGTCTAAAATAGCTATTTAGAGCCGAATTCCAGCGCACTGAACTTGTTACTATGTTATTGCAATCCTCAATCAGGTCACTAGAGGGCGCATAGCGCTTGTGAGGAGCATAATACCCAAAGAGGCAAGTTCTAAACTGTGTTGCTTCTTTGTATTTACATCCAGAAACTTCTTCTCTGGCACACTAGGCCAGGTCGGGGAGCAACACTGACAGTAGAAGAACTTAAAGTAACACCATTAACCAGATAACTGTTTAGTAAAAGTGACATGATTACTGAAGTTACCAACAGTAATACCTTACATCACGTTACAGACAGAAGGTGGCCGGGTGGAGAAAAAAGTAAACCGGACAAAATAATACATTTAGTTTTTGTTTTACACACATTTGTTCCAGTACATTTAATAGTGTTAGTAAGGTATTATGTTCACTTTTATTTTTTTTAAAGGAAGTCGTGTCAGCAGACTGGGGACTCAATTGATGTTGTTTGTTGTCACAACCTTCTTGCTCGTCTCTTAACTGCCCCTTTATTACAACTTTACAAACTCAAAACAAGAATCCATCTGAGAACAATTCATTTGCTATAAGTTCAAAACAAGATTTCTTTCTCTAGTTAGCTTTGACAAAGTTGAGCATGTAACGGGGGTTAGGGGTAAATAAAAGTAACGTAACAGAGTGATTTGTGACAATAAAACAACATAAGTTGAGTCCCCGGTCTGCTGTTTGTTCTGCTCTGACTCTATGAGCAGATTGCAGCTAAATGAATTAGCCTACATGGCTACAATGAAAACTCGTTCCAGCCTCCAAATAGTAAACTTGAAGATCTAAAATAAACTTTTTTCTCTGTTAAAAAGCGAGACAAAGAGCATGTCAGTATTTTCTTTAAATGTTGAAACATTTCCTGTCATTAATAGTCTATTACTTGAATACTATAAGTCTTGATTTGATATTATGTATGATGTAATGACGTATACTCAGGGTCTGAAATTAACACCAAACGTGTAGATTTTCTTGTTGGCGAGTAAATTTCAGAGGGCTATCCCCCACAGGGCGGGTAAATGTTTTACCATCATTCATGTTTAACTATGCTATACTTTATTTAAAACTAGGCTACAAGTATTAAACACATTTGATGTAGCTGCAGCTACTTTTCCCTGCTCCTCTCTCTGCTGTCTTCATGACGGAGCATCACGGAGACACACACACACACACACACACACACACACACACACACACACACACACACACCACACACACACCAGAGACACACACACACACACACACACACACAGACACACACACACACACACACACACACACACCAGAGAGACACACACACAGAGACACACACCAGACACACACACACACACACACAGAGACACACACACACAGACAGACACACACACACACACCACACACACACACACACACACACACACACACAGAGACACACACACACACACCACAACACAGACACACACACACACACACAGACACACACATACACACACACACACACACAGAGACACACACACCAGAGACACACACACAGACACACACAGACACACACACACACAGACAGACACACACACACACACACACAGAGACACACACACACACACACACACAGAGACACACACACACACACAGACAGACAGACACACACACACACACACACACACACACACCACACCTCTGATGTGAAAAACACATTTGTCAAAATATTAAGACATTCCTTTAAATAACATTATGTACCATTAATGTCATGACAGGTTTTTTCACTGTGGACTGTCAGAGACTCACTGTGAAGTCGTGGCCTCAGCTCTGAAGTCCAACCCCTCCCATCTGAGAGAGCTGGACCTGAGTCACAACGAGCTGCAGGATTCAGGAGTGAAGCTGCTGTGTTCTGGACTGAAGAGTCCAAACTCTAGACTGGAGACTCTGAGGTAAGACAACAGGTTTAATTTCTCTGTTCAGATTCATATGATGTGAAACTAAACTGAAGAGTTCAGGCTGATAATCAAATGATCCACACTGAGGATCCTAATGCTGAAGTCCATTTTCTTCTTCTGTGGTTTCATCCACAGAGTGGTAGCAATTTAAAGCTTTACATTTTAAACCTAAATATATAAAAAAAATAACGTGTTGTGTAGTTCACTCTTTACCACCTGAACAGCTGATTTTTAGATCAATTATGAATAATTAAACAAAGAAAAACAATCATTCCAATTTCAACCATCAGACGAAAAAATAAAGTCAAACACTTGTTTTGTCTGAGATGTTTGTGACACTGAGATTCTGAAGCTGTCAAAGGAAAGTTTAAATTGTAGACTCTTTGATTGAATGTCTTCTCTATAACTAGAATAAATATTACAGATGTTTACTTTATTCACTTTTCGTTGCAGACAATCGTCTTTTTTTTCCCTTACTCTTATCTTAGGGCAGGGTTGTCAAACATACGGCCCGCGGACCGTATCCGGCCCGACAGCAGGTTTCATACGTTTCACTTTCCCCAAATTGTATTAAAACCTATGTATAATGAACAACGTAAAGGTTGATATCATGATACGAAAATTAAATAAACGGGCACTTTGAACTATTTTCTCAGCATTTATAGAAATAAATACATCAAACATGGTAATATGTTCATTTTCACCACACTTATCCTCTCATGGAGCCCCAGTGGATAGGTGGACCATCTTTCAATGTCTTTCCTTATATTGCTGTCTATCTGTCCATAATTACTTTGATATAGTTTTGATAAGTTTTTGGTTATATTTATACCAAGGTATTTTAGTGATCTTGCTTCCCAGTTTCTTCTGAATTCTTTAAGTTTTTGGTTTGGTGAGCAGTTAAACATGAGAACTTGAGTCTAAAGGGATACTTCACCCATTGAAACATGAATCTGTATTGACATTGGGTCATATATGTAGTAGAAATGTGAAAAACATTTTGAAGTTGGTGCCTTCTTGGTCGTGAAAAGGCCGCAGGCCACTCCCACTAAGGTCCTCTAGTTCAGAATCAGAAATACTTTATTAATCCAGAGGGAAATTCGATCGATACAGTTTCTTCAAAATATACAGTATAGCAGGAGAAATATAGTAATAAAAACATTTACAGATTTATTTACTTAAACACATGAGGACGTTTCCTCAACTGATTCAGAGATTTCTTCCAGAATTGATCTTGGAAATTCCTGGCAGAAAACAGACTCTATGTCTGTGTTCATAGGCAAACAGTGAGAGCACCGACACTACCAGTCCGCCCCAGCTCGAGCCGGCCCCGGCTCCTCATCCTCACCGACAGGCAGGCCTTATGTCTCGGCTGCTGAGCTGGCAGTGGCCGTCGGCGGCAATATAGCCGCGAGACGGTTACTGCCGACAGGCCGGTCTTGTGTCGCGGCCAGCTCACGGCGGCCGAGCTCCCAGGGGCCAGGCTCCGCCGTGAACACGAATGAACACGAAAATGAGGGCGGGATGCACGACCATTCAAAAATACTACCAGGTTTCTAATGATACAAAGCTAAATGCAAATGGGTGAAGTATACCTTTAAGTACATTTATTTTGTACTCAGAGTACAAACTGAATTTTTCTAGAATTTCCACAAGTTGCATAAACATGTTCACAGGGTCCTTTATGTAGATCATGACATCATCAGCAAACAAACCAATTATGTGTTTTTGTTTATTAAATTCTATTCCAGTTATTGAATTGTCTTGCCTGATCATTTGGGCTAACGGTTCGATATACAGAGCGAATAGAGTCGGGCTAAGACAGCAACCCTGTCTAGTTCCTCTCTCAAGTTGGAATCTATCAGAGAGAGAACCGTTAACCTTTACTCTCGCCGTGGGTGCAGTATAGATGGATTTAATGCATTGAATAGATTTTTCATTAAATCTAAACCTCTCCAATGTTAAATATAAAGATTCCCAATTGACTCTATCAAATGCTTTTTCAGCATCTAGGCTGATCAAAGCCACAGGTACATTTTCTTTGTGTATTCTGTGTATGATGTGTAATGTCCTTCTAACATTGTCTTGTGTCTGTCTTCCCCCTACAAACCCTGTCTGGTCTTCATCTATCAGGTCTGCTACAAATGTTTGGAGTGTGTTTGATATTATTGACGTATACATCTTATCATCAACATTTCAAATCCATATTGGTCTATAGTTTTGGCAGTAGTCCTTATCTTTTTGGGGTTTGTGGAGTACTGTGATTATTGCTTCCTTCCAGGTGGGAGGTACAATGTTTTCAGCCATGATCCAATTAAAAGTAGTTTGTAATAATGGAGACAATTTTTCGTCCCACTCGGATGGAAATCCATCACTTCCAAATGCCTCATTTGGTTTTAGTCTTCCTATGGTTTTCAGGATTTCCTCTGTGGTTATCTGTTCTGTTATGTGTTGATTCTGCATTGTATCTATTGAGGGTAACTCCAAGGAGTCAAGGAATGTTCTAATGTCGTTTTGATTTGAGGTAGATTGTTGAGTGTAAAGATCCTTGTAGTAATCTCTGAAGATCTTTTCAATTTCTCCTGGTTCGTATTTTAATTGGTTTGTTTTTGGATCATGCAGTTTATTGACAGTAATTTCGGCCTGTTGTTTTCGTAATCGTCTAGCTAATAATTTCACAGCTTTTGGGCCTGTTTCATAATAACTTTGTTTTAGATATCTCGCTTTTGTCTCTGCTTCAAAATGAAGCAAATCCTCTATTTTTTTGCTCACCTCTTTCATTCGCTGTTGTATTTTTTGGTCAGTTTTTCCTTTATGCTTTTGTTCTAATTGTTTTAGTTCGGTTACATATATGTTGTATTGTTTTTCTCTCTCTTTCTTGAGGTTGCTTGTGATTGCGATCAATTTCCCCCTTATTACTGCTTTTAATGCATCCCATAATATTGCTGGGTTTGTCTCACCATTATTATTTTCCTCCAAGTCTTTATTTCAGCTCTGATTTGCTCGACAACTGATTTGTTATTAAGTATTCCCACATTTAGCCTCCATATTGTATTTCTCTGTCTACAATTCAGGAGTATCTTTAGGTAAACTGCACTATGATCAGAAACATCTGCCACTCCAATCTGACATTCTTGTGTTATATCTCTATTTTCTTTTTGCATAAAAAAATAATCAATCCTGGAGTGGACAGAATGCGTTGATGAGTAATGACTGAAGTCTCTTTGCTGAGGATGCAGGTCTCTCCATAAATCAAAAAAAAACATTTCCTCCCACTCATTTGTAACCATCTTTGTTGTAGAGTTCTTATTTCTCTTCACACTGGTCGTGTCCATGTCATAGTCCATTATTATGTTGAGATCACCTCCACATTTGCATATACCTTCTGCTTTTACTGCTATTATATCAAATAAGGATTTGAAAAATTCCTTATAACTCTCCGGTGGGGCATATATGTTCACCAATGTTATTTATTTATTTATTTATTTGTCAGTTTTATTTCATTAAAAAAAACAATGGAGTTAAGAAAAGCAAACAAACATAAAATCTCAAATTTTGAATGAAAAGAAGCAGAAAGAAGATTAATCTTATAATATCTGCCCTTCTTTTACAAAACATTAATTAAAACAAAACAAAACACTTAATTCAAAAACAATTTAAATTAAATTAATTTGGCTGCAGGCAATTAAATGCTGCAGGCAAACACAGCCACTGGCAGCCCCCCTGTAAGTCCTCCTTACCAATTCATTATACACTGTACAAAGTATATCACAATACATTTTTGTTACAGCATCACGAAACAAAACAGTATCTCACTGACATATTTCCACATATTTATTCAACAAACTGCCTTTAATTTTTCTTTTAAATATCATGTTTGATTTTGAGTCTTTAGTTTCTCTGTTGAGATTCCTTTCACAGTAAAACATCGTTCCCTCAATTTGGTTCTGAATCTCGGTTTATTAAAGATCTGTGTTCCTTTTAAATTATAACGGCTTTCCCTTTTTTCAAATCTGTTTTATTTTTTTTTTTCATACTGCATCCCTGGCAGATCAATTAGGGACAATATATCCCTCATTAGAGATTATTTGGAAGTCTCTAGCTCGTTAGATGTTAAGTTTGGTCTGATTTCTCTTGACCAAGAGAAGGCATTTGATCGGGTGGAGCATAAGTATTTGTGGAACACCTTTGAGGCTTTTGGTTTCTCCCCCAGTTTCATTGCCTTGATGAAAACTCTGTATTGTGACATTGAAAGTGTATTGAAGGTTAATGGTGGTTTAAGCGCTCATTTTAATATCAATAGAGGGATTCAGCAGGGCTGTGCAATGTCTGGCATGCTTTATTCTATAGCCATTGAACCCATGTTGTGTCAGATAAGAAAACAGTAAACAGGGTTTAAATTAAAGGAGAATCTTATACCCATGCATCTGTCAGCATATGCAGATGACATCATGGTTGCTGTAACAGGTAATAGTGATGTCAAAAAGCTTATTCACATCACAGAGTGCTTTGGGGAAATTTCCTCCTCAAAAGTAAACTGGGGTAAAAGTACAGCCTTGTTAGTAGGAAAATGGCGAGGGAATGAACCAAGGTTACCTGATGGTTTAAATGGGTGACGCATGGCATCAAGTATCTAGGTGTTTTTTTA